AACTACCTTTAAATCTTGTTTCTCTAGATGCATGTATTACAGACAAAAATAATTCAATCACAATATTCCTTAGTTGTTGACCCACGAGAGCTGGTGGGCTCCGAGATAAGGAGGAACTTCCCCCAGGCAGCAGAATGCTGGATAGCAGAGGCGGGATGAAGCGTAGGCTAAAGTCCCGCATTTACAGTTATCTCGCTAAAGCTATTTAACAGTTCTTCGTCAAGTTGTCTAACGTTTGCTCCTTGTGAATCCCTGCCACGGATGTCACGGTGGTGTCCGATTTTACTGGGGCACCTTCTCTTTCTGCAGGGCCCGGAAGCTGGAGTCCGCTCCGGCTTCAGAGGTGAGTCAGTCCTTGAGTGTCCCAGTTCTGTTGTTCCGCGGGAAAGCGTTCCTGGACCAATGCGTCCTCCCTCCCTCGAGGGCCAGGTCTCCATCTGCCTGTCCCTGGCCTAATTTCGGGGACTGAAAGGAACAGGACACATTTTTATTTTTAAATTGTTTCTTACGGCACATCCTCTGGTTGATATCATGTCCTTGATCTTGGGGAGGATGCGCCTTCTCCTTGAGCAAACTTTGGGATCCTAGGCAAACGAACCTCTGTATACTTGCCACCTTCTTTCTACTTTCCCAGTCACCGGCCACTTTCAGCTCTGTCCCCTTCCCTTTTGCTGGGCTCTGTTTTAAGCTAGTTACTATCAGCATAAGAGATGAAGTAGCTGAATCTTAATGAGCCTGTAATAATTTTTTTAAAAAATCCTGCAGACAGCTGAATGCTGTGTGAATGACAGCTTCTGGCCCCTGGGATGCGAGGAGCGGACAGAATGATTGGAGATTAGCCCATCTCCGTGCCCTTTAGTCCACCCGAACAGTATGGCAAGGACCCTGTGCTGGGACCCGCTGGCCACCTGCAGCTGCTGTGGCTCGGCAGCTCCTGAGGACGGAATTAAGCTGTAAACCGCGTTAATAAGAATGGAGGGAGATGGGGGAGCAGATGATCATCGTCCCTAATCTTTTGGGGCCCTGGGGGCTTGGTGCAAGCAGATGGGGAAAGAACAACAAAAAGAGAAAGGGGGGGAAGCCGGCTGGCTCTCTGAAGGGGAATGCCTACATTGCAAGATAATTCCAGGAATTAACAAAGACAATGCGAGGTTAAGTGCCTGGGGAACGCACCTGAACTTGATGAATGGAGATGACTCAAAATTGAAAACAGTTACTCAGCCAGGTTGTGGTCAGGGGCAGAAATATATAAACACTACAAGCCGCTTCCTAAAGCACTTTGGTGGCCCCGCCCCTGAGGGACGCACCATGGTGGGCTCCAGGTGGGTCACCATTCTTCGTTTACAGGTGAGACACCCAAGGCTCCGAGAGTCGCTTTCCAAAAGGCATCACGCTGAAAAGCGACCAAGTCAGGTCTCGAAGGCAGATCTTCCAAGTCAAACGTCTCCTGCTTTCTTGGGGAACTTCCAAAGTTAAATCACAGTGAGCAAGCGGATGTATGAACTGACATCATCATTTTTTATTCTAAAATAATATGAAAAAGCTAACTTTTTCCAGGGAGCAGAGAGGAGGAAAACCACTGGGGGCTGCCTATTTGGGGAAAAGCAGACCCCGGAGTGGTTCTCTGCGGCCCAGGCACTGGGGAGACCTCAGCGAACCTTAGCCAGCCGCGTCACCACCACTTTTAAAGCAGACGGATCCCATTCCCTGGTAGAGTAAGTGGCAGAGAAACACAAGAGGACCCAGACTGAGATTTACCGAGAATTTTTTTTGCACAAGCCAGACACCAGACTAGGCCCCTTAGACAAATTACCTAGTGAGCCCTCACCCAAAAGGTGCTCTTATTGTCCTCGTTTACAAGGGAGGAACCAAGTTCAAGGAGGTGAAGCGACGTGCACAAGCTCACACAGCGCCCCAGTGGCTGGGCTGAGATTCTGGCCTGGGTTGGCCTCAGTTTCCCAACACCAAGGTGAAGGCTGGCCCGGGGCTCGGCCGGGGATCCCCCCTGTGGAGGCTTGAGGTGCGCGGCGATTTAGGGCTCCGTTTCTGAGCGAGAGCCTATTCGTCCGGGTGACGTGATGTGGGAGGCATGATCCTTAGTCTTAAGATAACAAATGCCCGTCCTGAAAGCCAATGCATTTCGACGTCGCATAAATCCTTTTATAATGATCGCTTGGTGTCACGGGCTTGTTTACATGGAATCAGTTCTCACAGGGCTTTTCCCCATCTGCTCTGCCCCGTCGGTGGAGCAAGAAGGGAGGCAGCCCGCTGCTGAGGCACTCCAGGTAAAAGTGGGCGCCGGCTTAGGTGCTTGTAAGTCTCCCGACCTCACCTTCTGAGGCCAGCGGGGAGGGGAGGGAGGGCATACGTCATTTTTTTGTCATAATAAATTCCCCAGCATGCCACATTTGTCTTCTCCGGCAAACCCCAACTGATGACGGATGGTTTCTGTCTCGCCCAGGTAATCATGACCCCGATGCCGCATCCCCGAGACTCGGCCGTACGTCACCAGGTGACATTTTCTATTATTCTCTGTTGTCGGAGACAGAAGGTGAACACACACCAGGGTTTACCTGAGTCTGCCCTTCCCCCAGCCGGCTCACATGGGTGTCTCCAGCTTCACCGGAGCCTGGAGTGAACGGGGCTGGAGTCCAGGCACCAAAGATCTACACGGGGCGAACGAGCACGGGCTGCCTTCGCCTCAGCCCACTGTGGGTTCCTGAAGGGCCCCGACTCAAAGACACCAAGGGAAGAGCCCTTGGGAAGGCTTGCCGGAAGGCGAAACAGGGTGCCGGGACCTTCTGCCCTGCACTGCCCCTCCCTGCGTCCCCCGGGGCAAGACCCTCCAAGGGCAGAGCCTAGGGTTCCACATGTTCCAAAAGCATCCTTGATCCTGAAGCCACGGCAGCTCAAGCTGGGAAGCTGAAGTTAGTCGACACCGCGGGCTCCTCATTTATCACTCCACTCCCCAAGCTTCAGTTCCCGGTGTACAAAACAGAGATAAGAGGAGCGCCTGTCCCCCGGGGTTAGTGCGAGGGTCAGATGGGACTAACACCTACAAAGCACCTGGCCCAGCGCCTGCCCCGTGCTCAGCTGGGAGGCAGCGGCGCTGCCTTGCCCAGTAACGGAACACAGTGGTGCCTCGGTGCTCATCGTTAACTCAGTCTGGAACTCGTGAGGAGTACCGAACGAAACCCACGAGCACTGAGCAAGCGGCCAGTGACGAAGCATTTTCTCTCTTGGGGCGGCGACATGACTCAGACAAATTCTAGCATCCACACCGGGCGCTGAAACATTTCTTCTCATCAGATGCGATGAGCACAGGGTTTGATGAGTTCTGACGCCGACGAGGACTGAGCTGTGGCTGTACTGAAATGCTTCCAAACCAGCTCCAAAGAGCTGCTGCTCTGAGCCCCTTTATTTCCCCTTCCCCACACCCTCCCCTCTCAGGGACTCCCCAGAACTCCCTCCCATCCTGCAACTCAAGGGTTAATGCCCCGCACAGCCTGAAAAGCAGGTGCAGGAGCAGGTGGGTGAAATTCCTCACTGGCCACCTCTCAGGCTGTAACTACCGCCTGGCAGGGGTTACAGGAAAAGTCACTACAAGACAACGCGGCACGCCCACGTCAGCGAGGGAGTGTGCCCTGTGTCCAAGGGCAGCCTTTGACCCAGAGCTCCCTACCTGCCCCCTCTGTCTGCTCGGGGACACTGACCTTTCTTTCCTGGCTCTGGCCCACGTCTGACCCTGCTCTGATCCCATCTCTGCCCTCTGGAAGCTGGATTCTCATCCTTTCTCTCTTGGGCTCTGGGGTCTTGTGTTTGAACCTGACCCCTCTGGACCCTTGGCTCTCAGAGTTGACTCTTAAGCCCTTCCCACTGGAGCCTCCAGGACAGGTGCTACCTGTCCCCTTCAGGTAGCACCATCCCCTGAAGACACTGGCCTCAACGCAGTATGAGCTGGTCTCAGATGCCAGGGCCCAGCACCTCTTGGCCTGGCCCGCCCCACAGCTCCCCGAACTCCAAGTTCCAGCCTGGCACAGGTCCTGCGGCTGCGTCCTCTGAGACTAGGGTACAGAAGCAGTGTCAAAGAGGACAGAGGGGAGGAGGCAGGAGGATCCGGCGGTGTTTCAGAGAGAGAGACAGTGGCACAACCTGAACCTAAAGAGAGGGGCTGCTCTCGCTTTCTTTGTTACATGCCCCTGGGACCTTTGTTACAAGGTCCCAGGCTGTGCTGGCCCACCTAGCACTGGGCCCAGTACGTGGTAAGCATTCAACAGACAGCAGCTGAACACAGCATGGAGGAGGGAAGGAATGATACTACTAACAGAGAGAGAAGGAAAACAGGAGACACCGTTTGGGGTTAGCAACAAGGTGGAACAATGGACTTGATTTTAGACACATTGTGCTTAACAGTCGTGGTGTTCCTAAGCACCAATCACTGAATATTTCTGCCTTTTCTCCTTTGGGTACATGGCCAGGTTACACCTGCCCACACCCCTTGAAGGTAGGCATGGTCACATGACACACTTTAGCCAGTGAAATAGCAGCAATCATGTCACTCCTGACCAGAAGCTTTCAGAGTCAATATGTCATCTGCTTCTTTCCTCCCTAGGCGAGTTAGTAAACGCCCAGGTGATTCCGGTTGTGTTAAGGGGCTAATTGTCCCAATGAGCCCCCTGAGACATGGGGGTTGTTGCTGCGGGATGATCTCCAGTCTCAGTGAACAGAGCCAGGGTGCCACAGGTCACACTCACAAAGATCTAGGAGCCTGTCGGAAGGTCCCCAAGGAGAGGGGCCTTTTCGGTGAGACCCCTGCAGCTGCCTAAGGCCCCACAGCTACTCCACCTGTGGGGGCAGCACCGAGAAAGAACTGGAAGGTTCCCAGGCCGCCAGGTGAGCCTCACCTGTGCTGTGGCTTACCTCTTCTCCCCAAGGAAGGAGCATGAGTCCTCACCGGGTCCTTTACAAGCCCCGCCCCTCCCTGCCCCCTCAGGACTTACCCGTATTGTAGCCCCTCCCAAGGGCGGGCCAAGGGCGGTGATTCTTCCACAGGTTTCCGAGGTACCAGTCACTCTGGTTCTCCACCAAGCCCAGGACCTGCTGACCTGTGAAGGACAGAGAAGGCAGAGGTGCTAAAAGAAGCCGAGCCGTGTGGGTCGGTGCACTCTGAAAGTAGACGGAGGAGTGCCAGATCGCAGCGTGAGTTTTCATCCTGGGGAGTTTTCAGGAACGGCCGGGCTCTGACCCAAGTGCTTAACTTGTATTCACCTATCGATTCCCCGCAGACAGGCAGCCCCTCTGTTTGTACTAACCCCGTTTTATGGAGAAAAAGATGGGGGCTGCCCAGAGGAGTAAGTTAAGTTGCCCAAGGCCACCTCGTTAGTCTGCAGTAAAGCCGGAATCCCACATCATTCATTCATTCATTCATTCACTCACTCACTCATTCCTTGCCTCTTGCAACATGTATTTTTTCACACGCTATTCTCCAAGTGTCCCAGTTCTACTATTTCCCATTACAGGCTAACTTTCTGGCTTTCTGAGCATGCGCGAGGTGATTCTCACACCGGAGAGAAAGACGTGACCCTTGTCTGACAAGAAGGGAACCTGCAGAGAAGAGCCACCTCTTGGCCACCTTCCCAGCGCTCTTGTTCTCACAGTCAGGAAGCATCACATCAGCCTCACGTCAACTCAGGAGTGTTCTGTAGAGGGACAATCGCTTCTGTGTCCCCAGAGCAAATCGCCAGGCCTTGTAAGGAGGGTAAGTCCAGCATCAGATCCAACTGCTCCATTAGACAAGCCCATCACACCCAGGCAGTCTCTCGGGATTAGTATCAATACCACCGCACAGACTGGGAAACTGAGGCTCCCGTAGGACCAAGAGCTGCACCACTAGCGGTAGAGCCGGCACGCCATTCTCCATTTGTCCGACGCCCAGATTCTTCCCACTGTCGCCGTGCATTATTGCTTACCTTCACGGCAAAGGTTTATGATGGAAACAATACATCCACGTCTTATATGAAGAGAAACTGAGGCTTAGGAAGCCTGAATAATGTGCAAAAGGTCCCACGACTAACGATCACTGCCTTCCACAGCTCAGGGACGCCTTCGGGAGCTGAAATCCCCACACCGTCAGCCGCCATGAGAAATAAGGGCCTCCCCTAGCACATGGAGCCCGGCAGCAGGCTGAGAGCGCAGCGGTTCCCCGGGACACCGTGCCGGGTGATGGAGAACCTCCTCGGTACGATGACAGCTTCCTGGAATGATGGTGTGTGGGTTTGCTGTAATTTACTTGATCAATTTATCGAGTTCCCATCTAAATCAACACCCTAGCACAAACACATAAATTAGAGGCACGGGAAAACACTACCGCCCGCTTTGTCATTCTATAGGATCGCATCCAAAACTCGTAGAATCCCTCGGAAGAAAAACATCACCGATTCGGGGACTGCAAAAGCCCATCAATCCCACGTGCAACAAGCTCGGGACGCTGATTCCGAACAGTCCGATCGGCAAGGCCTGGTGCCTTGGGCTGAGGAAGCCGTGTGCCCGTCTACTGACCTTACACAGAGGCTGGGCCACACAGGGGACGTGGGGTCCTTGGGGAGCTGGTTCATAATTACCAGTGACCCTAGGTTGATGCTACCATTTATTTTTTTGGCATGATGAAGGGTGCCACGTGCTCAGAATTAGCAAACGTCACCCCTGACAATAACCAGGGCATAACAGAATGGTCGGCAGGTATTTCTACCCTGAGCCCAGATTCCCCACCCCGACACGCGGCCCCGTCAGCTGGGGTTCAGCCGTCTGCGGTCTCAGCTGTCTCCTCCCCTCCTCTGCAGACATGACCCTTGCTCGGCCTTGACTTTGGTTTGGCTGAATATCGACAGAGAGGTTGCTTTGGGTCAGACACTGCACAAAGGACGAAGGGACCGAAGGCAAACAAAATATAGTCCTTGCCCTGGAGGCAGCTGGAAGAGGTGACGGATAAACAATTATAAGGCACTGTGGTATGTGCCATGACGGAAGCATGGGTGGGTCAGAGGTGGGGAGAGCAGGAACAGCTACTTCTGTGGGGAGTGGGGGTGATGGCTGTTGGACATCCGGCCAGAGCCACCTACCACCTCCCCTCCTGCCCTGCAGGTGCCCCTGCCCTTCCCCTACCCCTTCCATACACACTTCCAAACTCCTAAGCTTCTCCCAAAACTTTTCTGAGGATGGTGCTGTCCCGTAACCCCTGTCTAGGCAGAGAGTCCCTCTGGTCCCCGGTTGCAGCACCTACGAGACAGGTCATCTTTTTTCCAGGTGGCATCTACATCCCACGTCTGCAGAGGTCAGGGTCTCAGTCCTTCACCTCGACAATGCCAACACATTGTGGGCCTGGCGTCCCATTAAGAGGCGGGATCCAAGGGGATTCCTCCTGGGGGCGCTGACGCGGGCTGCCCGGGAGCTGCCTCCCACGGCCCCTTCACGTTCCCGGCTGCCTCCTCTGCCTCGGAGTTATTACAATAAAACACTGTGACTAACAAAAGGCTTTGTCACTGTTCTCCGCGCTGGCCCTGCGGTTATGATGAAGTGCCCTGTTCCCTGGATTCCTTACTCCAGGCGCAAGTTAACTTATGAAAATGAAGCTGTCTTCTTTGCTTATTCATACATCACCACAAACAGCCAGACAAGAGTGAACAAGCTTGCTGTTCTGCTGGGGCCCTGGTGTCCTGTCACCAGCCAGCAGACGGATGGCGCCAGGCTGGGGACTCCCTGCCTCCTCCTTCCTGAGCTTCGGGCTCCGGGAGGGGCTGCTGCTGACGAGAAGTGGAGCCCCAGGAGGAGGGACTGGTGATGCTCCCACGTGGCCCCTAAGGCTTAGAAAGGGCAGGCAGGGCATTCAATCAACTGGGTGCAAGGCAGGCAGCATGGAAAAACAGAAAAAGGGCTTTTAATCCAGACAAGGGAGAGTTCTAGCTCTGCTACTGCATGGTTTGGCCCAGGTGTAACTTCCCTGAGCTGCAGTTTCCTATCACAGAGGGCAAGAGTGCAATTCACCTCCCGCCTCCAGAAAACACGTGCAGACCAAACAGCAGAACACAGGCAGAGTGTCCGGCTCGTGGCAGAAAAAGTGGAGGCCGCCCAGAGGAATTATTAAATTGCTCAAGGCCACCCAGCTGATCTGCAATAAAGCCAGAATCCCATATCACTCATTCACTCACTCATTTATTCCCTCATTCCTCACCTCTTGCAACATATGTTTTCCCCACATAGGATCCTTCAAGTGTTCCAGTTCTAACATTTCCCACTATATGCTAATTCACTGGCTTTCTGGACGTGAGTTGAGATGGATGAACGGTGCAATGAAAAATAACTATCATCAAAAAATCACCTTCCCATCCCAGTTGGAACTGGTGGACTCTTACCGAAATGGGGTGGACGTGGGTGCATACTAGGTCATCTCTCCAGGGAGGCACCAGGAGCAGGGAGCTCCAGCCCTGACCCCGGACGACGGACGCTGCCAGAGCTGTCTCCTTCTCCCACCCCCGGGAGAGGTCCTGGCTGCACAGAGGGAGACTGCCAATCGCTGCTGTGCATCAAACCAGCTGTGCTTCTACCGGCAGGTGAATACTAAAACGTTATCACCGGAGGCTCTCCTGACTATTAGCAGAGAAAGCAACAATGCCCTTCCGACATCCTATTTATTCTAATAAGCTACTTTGTAACAGAAAAGCCTTTAATAGTATCATTCAATGCATGTCTGAGTGCAGGAAGGCTATAATAAGGAAAACATATCGTATCACATCACCATTTATTAAACATCCTGAAAGAACCGCTCCACTGGTGCCCCTGACGCGTGGGTGCAGAATAATAAAACATCTCCTGAGAAGGTGCAACACAAAGGGTATTTAAACAGCCCTGAATGGGTTGAAAAAGACCATTTCAGAACTTGCACGTTTCCCAGCTCCAGCGAATGCACTCTGGGATCACAGAAGTTCACGTGAGCTGGGAAGATCTTAGTAAGTGCTCTGGAACCGCCTACATTTACAGGTGAAGCCCCGGAAGGAGGGGAGTGAGGCGTGTGGGGAAACGCCGTCAGCGAAGAGGTGGGCTCCACCACCGATGCTGTGCTCGGCTTTCTTCAGCGCGTAAGCTACTCCAGCCCGGCCCCCTCATCTTTCCTTGAACTTGAGTATACGTCTCACCTGGTTCAAACGCTAGCTCTTCTACCCTCGACTGCAGTCTGGGGTCAATTTCCTCTGCACAATGGTAAAGGTATATCCATTTCATACCCGGGACCCGGAGCCCTTGTTTATGTACCCCAAGTTTGCAGCGTATGCCCTGGAGCTGGGACCCATGTGCTCTAGCTACAAAGGTCCTTTGGTCCATCATTTCGTTTCCTTGATGAAGTAAGTTTATTCATTGCTTAGCCAGCCCTGATTTCATCTGGAGATAAATATCCCACCCTTGCTGACCTCCACAGCTAAGGGACAATCCCTTCTAAGAGGAATTAGAATCTGTCCCTCGAGAGACAGAGGGAATGAGGTTGCATGAATGAAGATTAAAGGAAGATCGATTTTTGCTTATTATAAGCCAGACCGTAAGTAACCATTAGAGTTCACCAACATGGACGGAAATGAGCTGCCTTTCTGGGGCGGGGGTGTGGGAGGGAGCTTCTAGGCACTGGGATTGTTCTGGAAGAAGCTGCCTGCATCAGCCCTCCCCCAGCAGGTGTTAACCGAGCCCCTACTGTGCACTGGGCTCTGCGTCAGCTGCTAGGGACACAGCAGGGAAGAAAACAGGCCAGGCCCCGCCTTCTGGGTCTGATGATCTCTGCAGAGAGCTTCCCAATGGTCTGGCTACCACCTCCCAGGCAGTGCCCCAAACCTAATGAAAAGTGGTTCTCCTGGGGTCAGCCCCGGGGATTTCTTTGCAAAGGACAGCCCCACTGATCCTGGTGCCCGGCAGGGCTGGGGACCATGGGAGTGGGAGGTCACCCAGCAGGCATGCCGGTGGTGGCATGGGGGTCCTGCGCTGAGCGGACGACGAGATTGGATGGCCTGGAAGCTCCCTTCCACACTGACTCTGGGGCCTCCTTATTTAGGCCAATGACGGGCTTTCT